CGAGCGTCTCCAGGGGGCGAGGCGGGGCGAAGGGCGCGGGCAGACATGTCCTCTCGCTGGAAAGGCCGAAGCGCGGGGAGCCTGTGTCAGGCCCAGGCCCGCCCCACGCAGCCCGGCACATGGAGAAACCGGTGCGCGAAGGGAAGGGGAGACCCTGCAGGGACGCTGGTGCCGCTTCGGAGGCAGGTGTGGGGAGGGAGAAGGCGGGGAGTCGTTCCCGGTCCACGCAAGGACGGACCAGGTGAGCGGGGCGGCGAGTTCTGCCCAGCCCCGCTGAGGGTCGGATCTGATCTGATCGCCCGCCCGATCCCGCACAGCAGCAAAACCTGTGACGGGGGAGGCGCAGACCTGGGAAGGGGAGGCTCGGAGTCGGGCCTCCTGGTGTCTGGCAGCTGGACACGAACAACTTATTTCTTGTTGGCTCCTCCAGCCAAGCTGAAGTAAAAGTATCGGGCTGCCATATATCTCCAGGGATTTCCATTTGGAGCCCCTTTGCGTGTGTCTGTGTGTGTCCCTGCATTTGTAGCCACTGTAATCAGTCCTCTTTGGAGCCCCGGGAAGCATCCCCTAAACAGGCACTTCCAGGCTCCCGAGGTTGAAACCAAAATCCTGCCGATTAACTCCAGGTAGGGGTACTCTTCAGGTAGCCCTCCCAACGCAGAGACTGGTATGGCAGCATCTACATGGCACAAGAGTGTGTCTACACACATAGTGGAATCATTAGTAATGTAGATACAAATGCTGCTAGCAGTGACCTCGCTGACTCTGTTCTGTATTTAAAAAAGCAATGGTGCCCAACGTTCTTGGATGGGCAGTCCGCGAGCTGGATCCTTGCAGGGCTCCCAATCCGGCACATAGTGCAGCTGCAGCAGGGCCCAGAAGGGATATGCCCCAGTCCCCATCCATCCATGGGGGAGGACATGTGGCTGGCCCTGATCCAACTGTGGTGGGGGAGGGTGTGGCCCAGACCCAATTGGGGGGGTGTTTAGGAATTTGGCAATGAGGGAGGGGTGTCAGTATTACTTGCCATGACTCTCCTGCTGCCTAATTTCCCAACCCAGGGGGGAGCCCTGCAGCCAGCTGCCGTGGCTCTGCAGGCCACATTTGGCCTAGGGGCTGGAAGTTGAGCACCCGTGACCTATGTAGCATGAAAGACATTAAAAGAGGGTCAGAGTAAGCTATTCTGTTCCCACCTGCAGAATGTACTAATCCCTGTTTGTTGCCCTGGCTGTCAGACTTAAAGGTGCCCTTACTAGACCACCCACCATCTCTCATTTTTCCATAATATGCACTTGGCTTGCCTACATGGAAGTTAAAGCAGTACATCCTTCTCCTCAAGCCTTCACATGTATGCAGGTCAATAACGGAGGTTTATAGCAGTATAGCTACTCTTAGACAGGAAGCTGTGCCTCTGTAGGACACCTTCATACTGGTATATTTGCATCCACACAAGGGAAGTTTGGTCATATGTAAGGGTCTGCCTAGATCATGGGGGTACTTAACAATTTTCGCAGGTTGATTTGTGGCCTAAAGTTCTAATGCTGTGGTTATTTTGTGGCACCCCTGCCCCTCTGCTGGTTGGTGGAGAGAACCTGCCTCCCATGGCTGATTGGCAGAGAGGTGGAAGGGGGAAGGGATTATGGGGTGGCTGCCACCTTGCTTGCTGGCTGTTCTTCATGTGACCCTGCCCTTTGGCATTAATTGGCAGAGGGGGGAGGAGGTGGCCACCATCTTTTCTGCTGCCCTTCATGCCACCCTGCCAGCCAATGCCTTCCCCTCCTGGCAGTGAGGACCACTGGCTCCTACTGGGGAGTTAGCATTTTTTTATTTTTTTTTATTTGTTGTTGATTTCATGAACAATCCCAGATTTTGCAGTTTCTGTGAAATCAACAAAACAGTGAATTAAGTAGGTCCCTAGCAATATATCGGTTCATGTTAAAATGGTATTGCTTGTTGATCAAAATAGTTTTATTGGTATGAACATGACATACAGAGCAGGCTTACAAAGCAGATAAATCTCTAGCAATCGATAAACTAGTTTGAAGTTTTTTGGCAAGAAAAGGTGTAAAGCCACTTATTCTCCCCTGCAGATTACATTTGCTTTTAAGTTTTTAAAGACCTGACCTAGATTTTCCCCGCTATTATCAAGACTATAGGCTCTTTGTTTTAGGGTCAAGTCAACCCTCCTTCCCCCCCCCTGCCCCCCAAGCCCTTTCAATGAGTTGTTGGATTTTTAACATATCTATTCAGGATTTTAGTCCTTTCTTTGTATCATCTTGGTGGCAGATCACTGAGAACCTCTGTCTTTAAAATATGTACGAAGGGCACTGAATAGGGCATCTTGAACTCGACAGTTTCCAGATGGTATCTAACATTCATCTAACCCCTCCACATCTTGTTGAGCATGCTTTCTGCTGCATGACTTGGGCCTCCACCTGTCTCTTTCTTGGGGTGTAATCATGCTTTTCACCCACTCTCAAGTGGGATCTTTTGGGTTAGTACAAACCCTGATTATCTCAGTAAGTTTGTTTTGAAAGGCAGAATGTGCCATTTTGTTTCCTTCTGGTGTAAAGATAACAATAATCTGTAAACACATGGCCTTCATAAGGAGTGCATGTTTATTTAGAATTGAGTCACTAAAGCAAAACAGATCTTAAACTATAAACCAGTCTGTCCACTGTTTACTGTTATCACAAACTCTCCATTTCTGCCTAGACTCGTCTCCTTTCCACACCCTTTCTTCTTTCTTTCTGCATTTTTCTACTCCCAAACCCTTTTACTCTCCTCTCTTTACAAATCCTTCTTATCCTAATCTTACCTCATTCCTAAGAACTGCTTTCTTTTCTCTCTCCCATCTGTTATTTTATTCTTACCTCTTTCTATCCCCTCAAATCCTTCCATCTATTCCTGGCTTTCCTTTCTCCTCCTTCCCTCACAATTTTTTTTCATCTTTTCACTTTCCCTGCCAGATCACCTGTCACTCCTTCCTTTCTCTGGACTGCTCAGCTTCCTTGTCCTCACCCCCCCAGTCAAAAATATCTTCCCTTCTCTCTCCAAAATATAGTCCTTATTTTCTCCTTTTTTCCCCTCCAAGTTCTGTATTTCTCTTCTCCATCTGTCTAAAACGATCAAAGTTACATTCTTTCTTCTTGCCTTTACTTAAACCATTCAGGTCAAGAATCCCTCATCTCTC